AACATACATAACAGAACGAGGGAGGGAGTGCTTGAAGGGAGGTGCCTGCCTCCTCTTTCCTCCCCTCCCCTCCCCCAAACACCTCAGGAGCCACCCCCTGTGAGGCTGCGCCCCCCCAGCAGCAGGGCTGTGTGAGGGCAGGAAGGCACAACCCCCCCAGGGACAGGGCTTTTCCCTACTCCCACTCCACCCCCACAGCCCCCAAGCCTCCATTCCCTAGGGTCCCCCTTTCCAGGACTTCTCCCCCTCCCCATGCAGGGACTGCAGCCTGAGAGGGCCCCGATGGTGGACTTCCCCACTGACCGGTAGCTGTCTGGGGTGACAAGCTTCCAGATGATGATTGCGACCCACTTCTCCAGTGGGATGGTGGGCCACAGGTGGGTGACACACCTCTGGAGGGCAGGGGTGAGCCAGGCACATAGCTCCAAAAAGGTGGCCTTCCACATGCAGAAGTTTTGGAGCCACTGCTGGTCGTCCCACTGCTCCATGACCAGTCGGTTCCACCAGTCTGAACTGGTGTCAAGCCTCCAGAAATGCCTCTCCTCAGTGGGGTGTGGTTGCCAGAGTGTAGCACCCGCACCCAAGGAGAGGGTCCCAAGAATAAGCTCGGGGTCGAGCTCATGCAGGACCAGGAAGGCAGCTGATACAAAGTGCTGCAAAACCTGCGGCATGGCCGTGTTGGGGCCATCTCATGCCCAGAGGCAGCGCCAGCTCCATGGCACCAAGAGAAAAGCTGTGGCGTCCAAAAAAGCAGGACAACCACAGCAGGTGTTGAGAGCTTTGCTGTCCCTCAAAGAGGTCCACAAGCATGCAACAGAAGCAGAGAAACGGCTGTCCAGGGAGGTCCCTTTAAGCGCGTCTCTGTAAGGCTCCGGCACCAGCACTTGGAAGCAACTGGTGACCTCAAGCCCTACCTGGAGTGGTTCCGGGTGGCCTTTTATGCGAGAGAGCATCCAATCAGTCTGGACACTCTCTTTCAAAAAGGTAGATCGCTTTTTCAATGTGCTTTTGTGTGTGGGCACTCTCTTTCCGAAGACGTTTCTTTGGAAGATCTCTTTTGAAAGAAGCTTCTTCCGTAAGAAGCCTGCAGTCTAGACGTAGCCTAATTTCTGATCAGGGCTGACTGTATAGTTACAATTTAGGGTCTAAAAATAATAATCTGAGTCGAAGGTAATGTTCATTGATAACTTCAGCTGTATGTGTATTTGATTGAGCTCTGTAACAGCCTTGTTCTTTCCCAGTGGTTTTTACAAGTAGGGAAAAATGTAGCCATCTTAATTTAGTTAATGAGGGTCTCTTTATGTGGAAATGTAATAGAATATTAACAATGACTTTCTCCAGAGATTCTTTAAAAAAATCTATGAAACCTTGTATAAAACTGGCACAGTAGAATGAAGAATCAGGCTGCAGTGTATTAGCATGGTACCATAAGATTGTTGCAGATTTGGTTTTGTCTCATCTATGTCAAAGGGTGCCGGAGGCAAAACAATGGCGACCAGCAACTGAAGGACCTTCCTGTGCTGCAATTTCTGCCATGGAACTGATCACTTGTTATGTAGGTGGGACAAAAGCAAATCTGGATATTATGGTGCCATGCTAAAGCACTGCAGCCTGATTCTTCGTTTCACCGGGCCCGTTTTATACCAGGTTTCATAGATTATTAAGGCCAGAAGGGGCCATTGGAATATCTAGACAGGCTGCAGAATCCCACACATTTGCCCCCATACAGAGTCCAACAACTTCTTTTTCTGGACAACAACCATTGGTGGAAAGAAACCCAGTCTCGACTTGAAGACATTTAGGGTACGTCTAGACTACAGGCTTCTGTTGACAGAAGTTTTGTCGACAGATACTGTCGACAAAACTTCTGTCGACAAAGAGCGTCTAGACTACATTGAGTTCTGTCGACAAAGCAAGCTGCTTTGTCGACATGGTAGTGTAGATGCAAAGGACAGTTTCCATTCAATAACACCTTCTGTCGACAGAAACTCTGTCGACAGAAGGTGTTATGCCTCGTAAAATGAGGTTTACCAGCGTCGACAAAACTGCTGAGTTCTGTCGACGTTATGTTGACAGAACTCAGCGGTAGTGTAGACGCAGGTATAGTTTTGTCGACAAAAGTCCACTTTTGTCGACAAAACTCTGTAGTCTAGACACACCCTAAGAGTTGAAGAATTCACTACTTCCCTTGATCGTTTGCTCCAATGGTTATTCATGTTCACTATTAAATTGTGCCGTATTTCTTGCTTCAATTTGACAGGTTTTAACTTTCTTGGGTTTTCATTATGCCTTTGTCCACTAAAGTGAATCTGCAATCAAACCTCTTACTGACCTTTAAAAAACCAAGATGTTCTAGAAACACGTTCATGTTTTGTCATCTGTTAGGGGAAGTTTTGGCTTGAGTCAAGAGCAAACAAGGCAAGGAGAGGGGAGGGCCTGGAGTTTTTCCATGACTGGACATCTTTTGGAAAGATCTGGCCCAGCTCAGCCAGTTTGTAGGAGCTACTGGGGGAGACTTCTCAGCCTGTGTGATGCAGGAGATCCCAAGAGTCTCCTCTGGGGATATGTTTCCGTAGGAAAGCTGGGCTTCTCTCCATTCATTGAACATTCCACGCAGCAGCAGTCTCCGATGAAGTGCTTCTGTCACTTTGGAGAATGGTCCCCAAGCATTGCTTTGGCAGCTGGCACACAAAGACCTTGCAGCAGCTCCAGCTCTGCTCAGCTAGCTGTTTGTATCTGCTTCTTGATGTTGAAACAAGTCCGAGAGGAAGCATTAAGTGCTGGGCAATTGTACTGTCGGGCAAGATAATGCTACTTGAACTTGACCAAGTTATGCTGGTGTCAAACTGATGTAACTGAGTGGAAAGTCAGGCTCACGTGATCTTTACAGGGTCATTTCCACCTGTTTTAACAGACCTTTTGTATGTTTGTTTAAGATAGTTATAACACGGGCATCTCACATCTTCATAGGTAAGATCAAACAAGAGATCCTGATATAGCAGAAATTGCTCTGCAGATGGCTCATAGTATAGTGACTATGAAGAGAGAAATGTAAACACTGGAAACATGAGTTGGGGGGCGGGAGAGAATAAGATGAATGAACTTATTTTTTCTTGCAAGCTTTTCTTCTTGTTTTAGTGTTTCTCTTCTCAGACACTTCCTTCACCCATATGTGGGTATGAATCACAGGCTGAACACAAAATATTTTGTCAACTTCTAAAGGATTTGGGCTCCCAGTTCCCATAAAATTAATGTCTAGCCTTCTTTCCAAAACCTCTGCCCTAGTTTTTGTAGTAAGTTTATGCTGAAGTAGCTCAAGCAGATTGTTTGAATTTCCTGCTGTTCATTTGAGGCAAGAAGCTGTGCTCCTTAAGAGAGCAAGCAGCAGTTTATGCTATTATTCGTGGTTAAAGATGTTCTGTAAATTTCAAATTTCTTAGTGAATGATGAATTGTACTATGCTACTTGATCCATCTGAGTGGGAAAGCAATGGCTCAGTCACAATTTGTCTCTGGTTCATGCTGAGACTGTGGGACCCTTCCATAGGAGGCACCATATGTAAAAGCACTAATCATTATGGAAGAGGTCTAGCTAACAAATTATCAGCTTGGCACCAGGAGTCAGGAATCCCCAGTGCTAAAGCTTTCACCAAAACATTCAGCTCTATATGTGGACTTAATACCTACCATTAAGCAGTTACTCTGAGTGCATGTGCTATGTAGTGATTGCAAGTGTTGGTAACAAAAGAACCCTAGGGAGAGTAGAGGATGAAATGGAGGATTTCAGTTCTGATAAAGATTAAATGGACTGAGAATGGCTTTATATATTACCTTTAAGGAAAACTATATTTTGCCTCAAAAGAAACAACACCTGGTGCCTTAATTGGGAAGATGATAAATCTGAAGTAAACCCCAGATTTCCAGTATATTGCCTTGCGTAGTGAAAGAAGCCCCACTGAACTTAAGTTCCTGAATTGTGTGTTGTTCAGATGGCATGTCGCAGGAGTTGCAAGCACAGGAATACTTGGTTTAATGATGAAACAATTTAAACTGTGTCTATTGACTTGTTTCTTTGTCCACTGCAAACAAGCCTAAAAACTGCACCCTTGGAAAAATTGTTGTGTAATGTAAGCTATGACTAGTGCTGCAGATATTAGCAATAGATAAAGAGTTGGATGGCTTGAATGGAGAATACAACATGCAGACAACAGCTCCAGGCAAATAGATTGCTTTAACTTGCAATTCCAAAAACATCTAAGGACATATTTATACTAAGTGCTTCACACTGGGAAAATATGTAATTCATCAATATGGAGAGCTTTTGATCAATACTAGCTCCTTTTACAGTATTTGAATTATAGTATTTTCATTTTTACCATGTGGAAGAGGAAATTTTTTTTTATTTGTACTATAGGTTCCAGAAACTTTGATATAAAATTAAAATCAGAAACACAAAAATAGCAAATCAGAAGTTAATGCCTTTTTCCCCTCCCATTTCTAAATCTAGCAACAAAACAGCCCAGAAACAAACCAAATTCTCTGCTGTTGTGAATTGGCACTCCTCTATTGAGGTCAATGGAAGTGTGCCAATTTACATCAGATGAAAATCTGACTCCAAAACTTCTCCACTATGCACTGAGTCAGATCCTCCATTGGTATAAATTGAAGTAGTTCTAGTGAAGTCAAGAGGGTTTGCCACAGTTATATCTACCTATTTTTCATGCAAATATAGAAAAGAAATAGTAAAGTAAAAGCAAGATGGCACTTCAGCATATTGTTAAAAGCTCAAGTCCCACTGATTTTTGTGGAGTTAAGCATATGCATTAGTGCTGTCCTGAATTGGGGCCTAAGGTTTGTAGATGTGGAGAAATCCTTGAAGGGAAAGTATTGGAGCAGCAAAAAGTATATGTAACTTTAGTATGTTTGTCTCTTCAATATATCATTTAGTTTACATGCAAAATGATCATTGCTGAGTTTCACATTATCTTCTGCTCTTTTTAGGATCACCAAAATAAACAGCCCCCAAAAAACAGAACAAAATTAAATAGAGTGCTAAAAGAAAGCTCTTTGTCAGGGAATGATGTGCAGCATCTTCCAGGAAGACTAGCACAACCAAGACCTCAACATCGCAGATATCGCAAAGTACCAGAATTTGAAAACACTCCGATAAATTCCAATACCTCTGACGTGCTAGAACTTGAACAAGATGATAGTAGTTCACTGGATACTGGGTTACAAACAAATCCCTTTGTTGGTCCAATTACTTCTTCCATTAAGACTAGTTCTACAGCAAACTGGGACACACACACAAAAACTTTACCAAATATGAATTATTTTGTAAACCAGAATCAGAAGCAGCTCTCCATGAACTTGGCTTCTCCTGTACACCATCTTGAACGAATATGGCATAAAAACGCTACTGGGTTGAATTTATCTCCAGCATATATTAGTGAAGAAAACAAGAAATATCAGCAAAACTCTGGCAACAGCCCTCTGTATAATCAGCAATATTTACAGAACAGTTACGTTTTGGAGCCTCTTACACCTGATTGGTATTCCAAGGATCACATGTTCCTAAATCATAAAAGCATTTCATCTACTTACAATGCTAATTTTGAAGAATTCATAAAAGACCAAGTTTCAACTGAGAGTCATAGAAAACAATTTTATAGAGATAAGAGCCATCACAACTACTATACTACCAATAGCTTGGGGTAAGGACGTGTCAAAATGTTATTAGCATAATAGTACATGATGCCAAGAAGGCATACTAGAGAAGAACAAAGAAATGTTCAGAAAAATCGGATACATTCAAACACAGTAATTTATTCCTGATTTATAATTTGTTTGTTAGAATTTGATGTAGTACAGCTTATTTTTAAGCTTTCACTATTCCTGCCATTCTTACACATGAAATTTCAATTGATTTTAGTATGTATGAACCTGTAAGGACTGCAAGATCAAACTTAAGAATGGAACTGAAACCCTGGTATTAAAGAGCAAAAACAAAAGTCATTTTAACTGCATTATCCATAAAATGAGTCTGGAGGAACTTGTTTGGTGTCAGCTTGGTTATACCAAAACCCAGCTTTTGGCAAGGTGAAGCGAAAATCACTAATTGCTACCAATCATGTTTCAACACTTGTCTACACAAGTACTACTCTTCTTAAAAATCTTCCCCGCTTGCAGGTCTACCAGAAGTAATGCTAATGCATATAAGGTACAAGCCTCTGGGAGTATTTTTACCAATCCTGCATTTGCTTTATTTATCAAGTTCCCATCAAAGTCAAAGGTTTTCTGTGCAGATGTTCTTGGAAGAACAAAATTTGATACTGCTAGCATGAAAAAGGCATGAGAGGCTAAGACTATTAATAGAGCTTGTATGTTGATTGAAGGTAATAAACGAAAATTCTGTTTTAAATGAAAACAAAGGCCTGATTTTCACCTACCTAAAAGGCTTCTCCAAAGCCCACTGAAATCAATGGTTCTCTTTTTAATGATTTCAGTGAGCTTTGGATCAAGCCCAGAGTTCGCCAGTTGACTTAATGAAGTTATTCATGGTACACGTGGGTGTGTTAGTGAGATCAGAATCAGTCTCAAATGATCTGATGTTTTGAAGTTTTGCCTGGATAGCCCAACGAGTTGAAAAAATATCCAGCAAACAATATCTAATGGTTTTATTAGTCTGTTTGATTAGCAATGAATATTTCAGTTTACAGATTGCTTATTGGGGCTTTGCATGTAGGTTTGAGTAAACAATTTCCTTCTTGTATTTTGTTTTTGATTTTTTTTTAAAAATTGAGGTCATCCCAGTCATCTGCACACAAACTGCTAGAAGGCCCTTCTCTAACTGCGCAACTTATACAGACAATGGAAAAACATCATCAAGAAATCTCGCAACTGGAAGATGCTCACCTTGCTGAAAGGCACTTCTCTGGCTTGTTTTCACCTGTAATCCCAAGGGCAGAAAGTGACTCGGAGCTTAACACAGAAAGAAATGAAGGAAATCAAGTGAAAATTAATCGCAGTAACTCAGAAGGGTACCTGCTACAAATGGAAAAGCAAAAGCATCTGAAAGAAAAAGGGACTAGGAAGGTAAGAAAATATGAATGAGTTAGAAACCGAATTTATGTTGCTGTTCCTTCCTTTGATTATATTAGTACTTTGTGCTTATTATCCATAGCTCTCAAAGCCCTTTAATATGAGAATTATTTCCCTTTTACAGAAGGGAAATTGATACTGAGCCATTAAGTGACTTGCCCAACATCAAACTAGTCAGTGGTAGAAGCAGACATTGAAAAAGAAAATAACTAGTAGCTGATCTGAGCGACTGACTCCCACACTTCATAATCCAAGGAGTTGAGACAATTCACCTCTGTATCTTTCCACTCTACTTTTCAGAGAAGGTCACTTGTTAGAGCACCTGGGGAACTGTTGATCCTTCAAGTTATTCCAGTGGTAAAAATGATTTAGAAAGAAGCCGTTTGTATACAACAGCAGGTAGCCAGGCCTGACGTCTGAAAAAGTTATTATCCTTGTCATGCCCATTTGCCAGTCAGATCAAATCTCTTGGTTTCCTAGGGAATTCAAAGTGGACAACATTAAAAGTTACAGGATTTGTGAAGTTAATGTCATAAACATTATTCCAGGTCTGCTGGCAGTCCCATTGTGGTCACTTACCAAAATTGAGCTCGGACTCTTCTGTGTCCAAATTTCATACTGTAACCATTTAACACTGATGCATAGAACAATATAAAGATATCATTGTACACCCATGACAAATTGAATGTTTAAGAAGTTAGTTTGCCTGCACTAAGACATGCCGCTAAGCTGGAATAATTACTCATGTGCTTCATGTAGGAGGCAGATTTTCTATTGCTGCTTGACTGCCTCTAAGAAGGGTTAGCTGGATTAAGTTAGTAACCGCAGAGCAGATTTCCTTCCTTTCCCATTCCCTGTGCTTACGCCTTTGTTTTTGTCCTTTTTTCCTCCCATAACTTTCTCACACTTGCACATCTGAAGAACTTTGTGGAGAATTGAATTGCTTACGTCTCACCGTACAACTCAGCTTCTCACATTAAATGGAATTTCATACAAACAAAATAAAGTCAAATTTAATTCACACATGTTTTGGCTTTGAAAATACTCTGGAAATTACTACAGGTGTTTGAGGAAAAACCTCTCTGTTACATACAGCTAAATAGTTGATCTCTTTTTATTAGATTTGGTTTAAAAAAACAAATATAAAATTATCCAAACTCTTGTATGAAGCATTTGACTCAAAACAGAAGTCTAATATTTCTAATATATTATAGGTTTCATTTGTTTGGCTTAAAACATGGTCACCATTTGAAGAAAGTACTTGTTTTGCTGATAGAAATTCTTTTGGCATTTCTATACTAGTCCATTATTGGAATTACTACAATAGACAGCCAGAAAGAAAACAAAACAAACCAGAATTGGGATTATTAAGTGTTTTCTCTGTCAGGCTTTTAAAATTTAGACCAGCTATGAAAGTTAATTGAGTCTCCCGCCTCTCCCCAGAAAAGCCAGAAAAGCACATTATCCTGGAGCTAACATAATGGATGGTTAGAAATGGATTAAGATGAAATTCTGGTTCCCCACAAAAATAACTAGGAAAGGAGCTTTGCACGGGGGATCAGCGCAGGGCAGAAAAGAAGTGAAAGTGCTCCCAAGCAGGGGGATAGTGCATTTTTTTAAATAAAAACATAGTATGTGCTCTCACTAGCCTTTCCTTTGGTTCAGCCACGCACCTCTTTGCAGCACCTGTGACTCGCCCCACGTACCCACCACTTCCTGCAGGGCACACAGGAAATTTCTCAATCCTCTTCATGGCTTATGTCTCAGACACCCCACCTCATGTCTCCCCCATCGTGTTTGCACTGGATTTTGAGCTTTCCACAGCTACAAAAAAGATCACATTTTCCAGGCTACTTGAAAAGTTACAGTTCTTAATAAAGATAAAGTAAGTACAATGAGATGGCTGCCAGCATATAGCACCATGTCATGATTAGCAGCGTACTTACCCTCCCAGCAAGTAATTAATGCTGTGACTTCAATTCTGTCACTCAGAGTAACACTGTAAACATCCCTGTCAACCAGTTGAGCATGTGAGCCTCAAAAATATATGGGAGTTTCTCTCTTCTGTTTGTGCAAATGACTGCACCAAAGACCTGAGCTTTAGAAGCTTTATCACCAGATGCCAGCAGGAAGAGTTACAGGCAAGAAGTGTGAGCAGGGAAAGGAATAAGCAAATCTCCTGATCTCAGAAAATGTCCTGCATACAGAGGTCAGTGAGTGGTAAAAAGTGCAGCTGATTCTGGTATGAAACGCTACGAACTGGCACGGCAATAACCTTCCTTTTGCCTGCTGCAGCACTTGTTCCATGCTGGTGTCATTAATTTTTCACCTTCATAGGTAAATCATAGAATCACCAAACACTAGAATTGGAAGGGACCTCGAGAGGACATCAAATCCAGTCCCCTGCCCTCATGGCAGGGCCAAGCACTATCTAGACCATTCCTGACAGGTGTCTGTCTAACCTGCTCTTCAATATCTCCAGTGATGGAGATTCCACAACCTCCCTAGGCAACTTATTCCAGTGTTTAACCACCCTGACAGGCAGGAAGTTTTCCCTAATGTCCAACCTAAACCTCCCTTATTGCAATTTAAGCCCATTGCTTCTTGTCCTATCATCAGAGGCCAAGGAAAACAATTTTTCTCCTTCCTTCCTTGTGACACCCTTTTAGGTACTTGAAAAAAAGCCTGAAGCTCAGGGTCGACCCCCCAGCACCGGGGAGCCTGCACTGGCATTCCAGACCCCCGCTCGCCTACCATGGGGCTGGATCACACAAAATATACTAGGCTGGGGCCCCGTAGGCTCTGGTGTGCACGGACAATGTGGAGAGTGCCTTTCTCCTTCTCCATGTCAGTGAGGGGTTTGGTTGTGTTGTTTGGGGGGTTTTGTGCTTCTCTCTTGTGTGCAGCCCTTGACTGATTTTTCTGTGGGTCAGTAGCCGCTGACCTAAAAAGGTTCCCCACCTCTGTCCTATAAGCCTCTACCTTCATCCAGGTCTTCCTGCCATCCTCCTATTAAGGATGAAATCCTGTCTCCGTTGAAGTCAGTGGAGTCTTGCCATTGATTTCAATGGGTCCAGGATTCCACCTTGTGCCTTCTCTAACCCTATTAATGAATTTGCTATCATAGCACAGGGTCTTTAGTTACTTACCAGGAGAAGGAAACATGTGAATTTCTCTGTCACCAAAAGCAAGATTGTTATTTTAAGCTGTTTGATAGAATCCAGCTCATGAAATGGAAGACTGGCAAATTACAAAGTTGAGGTTAGTGTATTAGTTATTCAAATATCCACATAATATGGAGAATTTCTAAAAGAATATTATCACATGAAACAAATTACATGAATTCAACTTAAAGTCTGCTCACTTTACTCATAAAGCAAGTGTCAATGTTAAGTTTGAGCCTACAACCTGAATTCTGCCCATTCATTACAAACCATCTCTAATTATGTGGTCATATGCTGTAGTACAAGCAGGAAGGATCCATGCATCTTAAATGATGGTGTAAATACTTTACAGTTCACTAAACTGTCTTGGTTTTCAAAACTGTTCTGTAGTCCCTGGCAACATTTTTCAAATGGGTAAACCAGTTTTTCTTCCATCCTTTCATTATATCTGGAAATGTCATTTATAGTAGAACAAACCAGCTCAGGTTCAGTACGCCTTTAAAACTTGTATGTTACTTAGGGTGACTTTTGCCCTCCATGCCAGCAGTTAATGGAAGATGTATTTGTTTCTGTCTTTAGCCTTCTAGGCCAAGAGCCTATGTGAACCTGGATGTGAAGCTTGGAGGCCTTGGACCTGACTATGAAGCAGTCAGAGAGAAAGTAAGTGTCACTGATAGCATTTTGTTTGCTTTTTATGTCACTAAGGCTGTGTCTAGACTACATGCCTTTGTCGGCAGAGGCATGTAGATTAGGGTTGTAGGCAAAGGTAAATGAAGCCGCGATTTAAATGATCGCGGCTTCATTTACATTTACATGGCTGCCGCGCTGAGCCGACAAACAGCTGATCAGCTGTTTGTTGGCTTTAGGGTTGTAGCAAAAGGTAAATGAAGCCACGTTATGCCTCGTGGAATGAGGTTTACCGGGGCTGCCGACAAAGGGCTTTGATGTCGACAGAGGGAACGTCCAGACTAGCGCGCGAACCGACAAACAGCTGATCAGCTGTTTGTCGGCTCAGCGCGGCAGCCATGTAAATGTAAATGAAGCCGCGATCATTTAAATCGCAGCTTCATTTACCTTTGCTGAATAAACAAATCTACATGCCGACAAAGGCATGTAGTGTAGACGTACCCTAAGTTATACCAAGTAAGCTAAGGTAGAATGCGGTGGCAATAAAAGCACAGTTGATAAAGTAATCAAAGACTACCTGATAGGTTATGCCCTTGACTCAAACTAAATATTAATTTCCAAAGTGGGCCGTCCTTCTGAGCATTAAAAAAGCAACTAGTACATAGGTGGGCATTACCATCAAATAAATGATAATGTTCTAATCAGGCATCTGTTCATCAGTCCATTTGTGAGTCCAACTAAGACAATAACACAAAATACTAAGATATCCTCTATCAGTTAAGTAGTAGCCCCCTTTTTTTCCATATGCATCTCTTGTGAGGTGCCTTCTCTCATCCATATAAACAATATTGAAGGAGGTCCATGACGATCTAGCACATCACACCCGTCATTAGACTGCACCCCTTCACCTACTGGAATTTTTTTCAGACTCAACAGGTGTAAAACACTAAACTTCCAGCCACCTGTGCTAAAAGAAACTCTCCCTTCACTATTAGCAATAGAGATGTGTTACACAGCTGAACAATTCTGAATCATCCATTAGCACATATTCACACTAGCCAGTTCATTGTAAAACTGCATGTAAATATATGCTAGATTTCAAGGCTTGGTTCACACAAACCCACAGCTAATTTTCATAGATTCATAAGTCAGAAGGGACCATTGTCATCATCTAGTCCAGGGATCGGTAACCTATGGCTCACCAGAGAACCAGACACGGCTCTTCTG